TATGTGTTACACGGATGAATCTCGAAAACTGGCCAAGTATAAGTAGACCCAGAAGACACAAGAGACCACATGTGTAGGAGTCCATTTGTATGAATGGCCAGAATCGACAACTCTACAGAGACAGGAAGTAGATCAGTGGTTGCCAGGGGCTGGAGGATGAGGAGGGTGGGAGGAAGGGGGAGGGGCTGCTGATGGGTGGGGCTCCTTCTAGGGTAGCCAAAAGTGTTCTAAAATTGGATTGTAGTGATGTTAGCACAACCCTATGAACATGCTAAAAAAACCACTGAATTGTACACTTCAAATGGGTGCATTAATCTCAATAAAGCAGTTGATAAAAATAGTAATGTTTGTTCATTAGTTATAACAAAGGTACCACTGGAAGATGTTAACAAGGGAAACTGGCTGAGCTCACTGCACTATTTTGTACATTTTCTGTAAATCTACAACTGTAAAATATAAAAGGCTTAAGTAAAGATTATATATGTGCACATGTACACACAGACACATACATGCTGTTTTAAGAAGGGCAAGGGAGTTAAATGCTGATAGGGGCTTGAGATAGGGACAAGGCCACAGGGAGGGAGAACTTTGGGATGTTTGTGGGAGGGGAGAGGCATTCAGCTAGATGGGGTATGTCAGTTTCCTACTGGGGCTGTAACAAATAACCACAAACTTAGCAGCTTGAAACACAAACTTTATTAGGATTCTAGAGGTCAGAAGTCCACAATGGTTTTCACTGGGTTCAAATCCTCAGTAGGGCTGCATTTTGTAGTGGCTCTGGGAAGACTTTTTCTTGCCTTTCCCAGCTTCCACAGGCCACTGCATTCCTTGGCATATGGCCGTCTCCCATCTTCAAAGCCAGCGGCTCTGTTTAACACCTTCACCTCCCTCTCTTTGACCCTCCTGACTCCCTTCACTTTGTAAGACCCTTGTGATGACACTGGGCCCACCCACCTCGATAATCCAGAATAACCCCTCCCCCAACTCAGTCATTGATTTAATCACACCTGCAAACTCTTTTGCCATGTAAGGTCCCATATTCAGATTCTGTTGAGGGTATGGACATCTTTGGGGAACCATTAATCTGCCTACTGAGTGTCATCAGGGAGGCTGGGGCGCGCCTGGGTGGCTCAGTGGGTTAAGTGTCCGACTCTTCATTTCAGCTCAGGTCATGAGATCAGGGTGCCGACATCAAGCCCCACTGTCGGGGGCTCTGCATCAGGATCCGTACTGGGCGTGCAGCCTGTTTAAGATTCTCTCTCTCCTCCTCCCTTTGCCCCTCCCCACCCAGCTCTCTCTCTCTCTCAAAAACTTAAACAAAAACAAAAACAAACGAAAAAACGGTGAACACAGGACGATGCTGTGAGGGGAAGATAGGGTCAGCTCTGGACAGGCGGAGCCTGAGGTACCAATGGCATATCCAAGGGCACCGTGCCCTTGGCCTTCATCTATTCACCAAACACTAAGCAACTGCCATGGTCAGTCATTGGGGTTATAAAGGGGACCGCTGTATTGCTTTTCACTTCTGAACGTTTCTGCAATGAGGATGCATTTTAATCAATGACCTTTTGTAAATGTAATTGGCAGGGGTTTCTTTCTTAAGGACAAAAAAAGACTTGTTACAATCGAAGGCATCCTGGAGTCCATGAACACCAAGTCTGCATGGACCCAATTATTACAGAAGCTGGAGCCCTCGCTGGGGCACCAAGTATCCCCACCCTGTCCCGGTCTTCCTGCTTCCCAGCCCGGCCCCTTCCACCCGGGGCTCTGGTGCTCAGCAATCCCGCACCAGACTCCAGCAGAGCCGTGGCCACACGTGCTCAGCTCTGCCACCACCGCGGGATCCGGTGAGTGGCCCCTTGTTCTAGGCATAACCGAGTCACAGGAGTCAGGCTCGGTGGTTCTGCACCTGCCCGCACACTGGAATCCCCTGGGAGCTTTCAAAAACCCCAACCACTACGCCGCTACCTAGATCAATTCATTCAGAATCCGAGGAGTAATTTTACAGCTCCCCCGAGACTCCAGATGGACAGCCGAGGTAGAAAAGTGGGGGGTTCAACCTCACCCGGTGCAAGAGAAGAGGCATAAGGCAGCACTGGTGAGAGGTGGGAGGTGTTGGGTCCAACTGTACCTGCCTGGCTCCCTCCCGACCCCATTCCCCAGAAGCTCAATTTCTGGAAGAGGATCGACCTCCTAGTTAGCCCAGTTCCTTCAAGGCACTAGCCCCGTACCATGCACACTGTGAGACCCCAGGAAATGGAAACTTCAGGGCCTCAAAGGTGCCAAGAAAGGTCTGGGAAAGAAGCCTATTGGGTCTGGGCCAGTCCTCTGCTTCACTGTGTGAGCTCCAGGGAGGCACTGCCCCTCTTTGTGTCTGTTCAGTGGTTGGCCCAGGTGGCCCTGAGGGGCCTTGAGTTTGCCCTTCCCCCCAAGGAGCTTGAGACCCCTGGGGAGCCAGTGGATACCAGGCCTCCTACTCACCCCCAACAGATTGTCCTCGCCCTTCGAGGCCTAAAATCTCCACTTCTGGTGCTCTATCTTATACTGGCTGCAAAGACTCTGAGGTTCTAAAAGCTGAAGACCTAAGAAGAGCAAAACAGGAAGCCTGCTCCGAAAATACTGGAGAACAGCATGTGAGCAAAGGGATTTTTTAGATGGTGAGCAGTCCGGGTGGGGCAGCCACAGGCCACCTGGGAACTCTGGCTCTGCCCCAGGAGTGGTAACCAAAGGTGAGGTGGTTCAAGTGACCAGAAACTCCCAAGAAGGAACTTCATGAGGAAACACTCATGAGGCGAGTCCAAAGGGGCTAGAAAGGGCCTTGGCTTCTGCCCATCAGCATAGCCAAGGCCCTAATATACAACTAAAGGCTTTTATTGGGAAAGGAAAACTGAATGAAAAATGGCTCCCAAAATCCTCACTGCCTGAGGCAGCTGGGGCCTCCTCCAGAGAGTCCAGGAAAGAAGAGAACGTCAAACTGGGCCCTCGGCAGGCTCAGGTATAGAGGTCAAAGTCAATGCGTTTGGAGTTATAGAACTGTCCACCCGGAGGGTCCAGCTTCCGGCAATAAACACCATCTGCGAAGTAGCCTTCGTTCACCCAGGTCTGCAGGAAAAAAGAGAGCAAAGCTAGGAAAGGTCTGATATGGGTGGGAGGACGGAGAGCAGCGGCAGAAGGAAGCAGGAAGGGGCTTACCTGCATCTGGGTGCTGGTGAAGGGCCCGTACAGCTCAGCATCTCCCGTGTTCTCCCACTTATATTCCCACATCACGTCCACCAGACCATCTCCTGGCAACTCTCCTTCTAAAACAACAGGCAAAGCCATCTGGGCCTCAAGTGCCCTGCCCCCTGCCCCCATCACCCCTCCTCTGCTTTCCAATCTTACCTCCCTTCTGGGTAGGGGTTGGGGTCTCCAGCTCCCCCTCTGCCACTTCCTCAGCAAACATGTCCAGAGAGGGTGGGGGTGTGGGCTCAGGGGGTCCCTGGGTCCGGGACCCCAACCCCTTCAGCCGCAGGGCTAACCGTTCTCTTGTCTCCTGATATACACCAAGGTTGCCCCGGGCCACCATCTGGTCAGCCAACCCAGAGAGCCGATCCAAGCGCTGGGGGGAACTAGGCCGCCCAGCCCCCTTGCTGCCCCCTTTGCCTCCTCCTCCTCCTCGGGCCCCCAGACGCCTCAGTGCCCCGGCGACTGTCTCTCTTGGCAAGAGCAGCTCCAGAAGGCCCTCCAGGAGAGCTTGGGCACTCATTGGTGTCTGGCCCAGGCTGTCCTCTTCCTCTGAGTCTGACGGCGGGCGCTGATCAGGTGGTCGCTCCCTGATCTTCACCTATGATATGAAAACAGGGGGGTGTTATCTCCAACAAACGGTGAGCAAGGCCCAAGCCCAGCACTTGCTGCCTCCAGGCTCCCAGCCATGTCAACCCCTGGGCCACACCCAGTCAATGTTGTCCAGCCAGCTGTCTCGGATCTGAGCATCCCGGTTCAGGAAGTAGTTGCCATCGGCATCAAAGTGGCCCTCCTCCATCTCTTCCTGCAGGTTGAAGGGTGTGATCCGCACACCTCCCTCACTGGGGAGTGTGGCTGCTTCCTGACCTGCACCAAACACACAGGTGTCCCACGCTGAGCAAGCAAAAAGAGACAAAAGCCTTCCTTGCCCCACATCCCCTGAAGCCCTATCTGTTCCTCCAGCAGCCTCAGTTCTTGGGTTTAGCTCACCTTCCACATCCTCTGAGGCCAGGATGTCATATTTGCTGGACCCCTCATCATCATCATCCTCCTCATCGCTGTCCAAAGAGTGTTTGCCTTTGAAGCGGCTCCCAGGACCCCCTGCCCCCGTCACTGGATCCACCAGCTGTGAGGAGGAGCCAGCAAGTTGAGAGAGGCAGGTTACTGGTGATTCCTCAAAATACTTTAGGTAGGTTTTTCTTCAAAGCCTTCTCAGGCTGAAAATTCTCCAAACCCATTTCCCAGAGAACATGGAAAAGCTAGCCCTTTCTACGCGTTCTTTGTCCCCACGGGCTTTCTTTCTCTTCTAGTTCCTTTTCCCTCCCCTCACTCCTCCCCACAATGCAGGAGTCTGGCCCCCTCACCTTCTTCTTGGGGACACTGATTTCATCCTCATCATCCTCATCTCCTACGCCTTGGAAGGTCACTTTCCTCTTTGGCATGACTGCACAGAGGGGCCTTCCCCAAGCTGAGCCGAGGTGAAAGGGTGCAGATTAAGGGAACTGGGCGAGGCTACTCACCGCCGAAGGGCCCCCAGCACAACAAATTATCACCTGGTACGCACTAGATCCAGCTTGGGAGGAGAGGGAGCACAGAATCAGGGGCCGAAAGGGAAGTTGGCGGCCAGGAGGCCCCCGGGACTTGGTTTGGTCCAAAAGAGTTGCTGGAGACAGGCCGGAGACGCGGACGCGCGGAAGGGCTTCCCACGGGCAACCCCCACCCTTGACGAAAGGAGACAGGCTCCCCCCACACGCACCACCCATTCCTGGCCCCCGCAGTCCTGGATGCGACGGGGCTCCGCGGGCTGACACCCGCTCCTACACCCCAGCTCCCTCAGAGCCCGCGGAGCCCGGGCGGACCCAGGACCTGGCGTCCTAGCCGCCCCCCTCCTCCCCGCGCCGAACTCCCAACTCCGCGGGGTAACCCCCAACTGTCCCGGGCTAACTATACAAGTCAGAGTGGCGGCAGAACCGCGGGGATTCGAGGAGCCCCACCAGCGCGCGCTCACCTAAGTACCTACGGGAGGCTGAGGGGAAAGAAAAAGAGAGAGGTTTTCACCAGGGCTACGTCCGGGGCACCGGCCGCCATCACCCGGAAGAGAACTGCGGAAGGCGCCAGAGAAAGCCGGAAGTGGCTTCACTCGGGTTAGTGGACTAAGTGGAGAAACGGGCGGAAGTGCGCCGTGAGCGGGAAAGACCGCCCCGCCCTGCCCTGCCCAGAGTGATGTGAGCAGCGTGGGGCGACAATGGCGAGAATAGGGGACGTATGAACGCTTAGACCCTGATCAGACGAGAGGGATGGCCGGATGCGGTTTCGACTCCCCCCTACAGCAGTTAGAGGCTCTGGGGAGAAAGTGGAGCGCACTCTACTTAAAGGGGCGCCCGGGACCATGATGGAGGACCAGAGTGGGACAGTGGGTTTCGGCCTGTTTCCCTTTCCAGGGTAGAGTCACCCTTCCCCAGGGTTGGCCAAGAGCTTTGCGCCCCTCACCATCTCCTTGGGAATCCTGCTTTTCCATTCAGCGTCCAGATCTGTCCTCTCCTACTCCTAGGTGCGGCCTTGCTCTTCTCCCTGAGCAGAGGCCGGGTCCCGATGGCCCGCCTGGAGGCCCCGGGTGGCTCTGGGAGCATTTACCGAACCCAGCTCTCTTTAGGACCCGGGGGAAGTCATTTACCCCACGCCTATCCCTTGGGCGAGTTGCCGGTTTCTGAGGTGGGAAGAGCCATCACCGGAAAGGTGACGGTGATATCTGTGCCCGGTACCCTGGCCAGAAGTCTCTTGTGTCCTCATCTCAGGTAGGCCTGGAAAAGGGCAACGGTGCCTCTCTCGAACCACAGCCGCAGGCAAATAGGGGCCCAGGCCAGCGGCCCCTGCCCAGGGTCTGTAAACTGGCCCAAGGGGCAGAGCTGGAGGTGGGAGGTGTGGGTCCCAGTGCTGTGGGGACAAGACCGCTACCTCTTGAGGACAGTCTTAAATCCCACTGGGCTAGGACCAACCCTCCTCTCTCCTGCCCCCCAAGGTTTACTCCCCGCTTGGACTACCATGAAACTGCACCAAAAGTCCGTGCTCAGTTTCTTCCGTGGATGCAGAACACAGGCTCCAGACCGGGAGGGCATCTTGCTGAAGAAGGGAACCCGAAATACCAGCTATCAACGCCGCTGGTTCATCCTCCGGGGAAACCTCCTCTTCTACCTGGAGAACCAGGCGGACCACACCCCCCTGGGCCTCATTCTCTTGGAAAACTGCCAGGTGGAGCCGCGCCTTGGGGCCACAGAACCCTATGCCTTCACCATCCTGACCCCCAGGGCTGAGGGCACAGGTGGGCGGGCCTACAAGCTGGCGGCAGAAAACCAGGAAGAGCTGGGAGCCTGGCTGTGGGCGCTGGCTGGGGCGAGCTGGAGGCGGCTGGTGGTGCTACTGCCCCCCCTGGAGGCCCGGTACCGGGAGCTGTGCCAGGCAGCTGGCCAGGAGCCCAGCTCACCCCCAGAGGACTGCAGCTTCCTAGCCACCCTCAGTATCCCCTCCAGCTTCCAGGAGTTGCACGAGCACTTTGGGAAGGAGATCCGGGTGTTGCAGGTGGTACGCAGAAGGCCCCAGGCCAGTGCCAACGGAAGCAGCAGATCCCAGACACAGGAGCAGCAGGAGCTCAACAGCTGTTGATGAGTGACTGAAAGATGGACCAAAGGCCAAGAGGTACCTACCTGCCAAGACCAGCCAACTGCCTCAGGAGACACCCAGATCCCGGCCTGCTCCACTGTTTCCCACCCCCTGCCCAGTCCTTATTCTAACCCCCATCATCAAATAACAAAGCAGGAGACAGGCCCAGGTACAACAGCAGGTTCTTTTCTGGTTCCTCAAAGCGCCGCACAGGGTGGGAGCAGAGAGAGAAGAGAATGTAAACATTGGGTTCCACCCCCTGGAGCTCAAGGGAAGACCCCTTCCCCAGATAGGGGCTGGAGGGGGAACAAGGTGAAAGGTGGGGACCCTGGTGGAGACAAAGCAGAAGCCTGAGAATACACAGGAAGGTGGGTGAAGAGGAAAGAGAGCAAGGAGGATGGCAGGTGGGGAGAGGTCCCGGGAACATGGCCTGTTCCAGTGCTTGTCCCCTTAAATAAATGAGTGCAAGAACATTGTGGAAGGAGAACTGAAGGACAGAAGGTAGAGCGAACACCCCCACCCTGGACCCACCAGGTCCTCTGTACATAATTACAACACAGAGATGTCCAGAGTAGAGCGAGGAGAGCCTCGGCCCCCAGGCACGAAGAGGGGGAGACCAGCAGAGCTGAAGAAGGGAAAAAGGAACCCAGCTCCACTCACGGATAAGGGGAGCAACTGGTGTAAGAATCTGAAAACTGCTGATTCCCATCGCCAAGTCACCCCTGAGGTGACAAAAGGCCAATCAGGACTGCACCTGGGAAGGACCCCAGAGGGAATTGGGGCAGGAGTGACAGAAACCCCAGCTGGGCCCAACTGGAGGTAAGGGGGCTCCAGATTTGTTCACGGCTACCCCGAGGAAAGGCAGCTACCCCGTGCACTCACTGTCCCAGCTGTGTAGGGATCAGCAGCTGGCAAGGAGATGGGGAGCCAAACCGCTTTCCCCAGAAAGAGTGACGGCCTGCCCAAGAAGCTTGGGGCAGCACCCCAAGCCGGGCCTGCTCTTGACTGAGGAAAACAGAGGGAGGCCATGCAGTCCAGCCCCGAGATAGAGGTCAGAAGTAAGCATCCTGCCGGGCCTCAGATGCCGAGGACCTGTCCCCACCATCCTGGGGGCCTGGGGGCCCATCTGCCTTTCGACGCAGCGAGAGCTTCCTGCCTTGGGCCTTCTTTTCCTGCTTCTGCCGCTCCTTCTCCTGCTCTTTTTCCCACTTCTGCCGCTCCTTCTCCTGCTTTTCCCGTTCTTTCTCCTGTTTCTGCCGTTCCTTCTCACGTTCCTTTTCCTGTTTCTGCCGCTCCTTCTCCTGCTTTCGAGTCTCCTTGCTGGAACCCAGTGGGGTGCTGTTGCCAGTAGGTGAAGGAAGGGATGGATGCAGTCCCTCAGCGGTGACCACAGGCCCTGGGGCAGGCCCAGCGCTGGCCCTGCGGGCAGGAGGGGGTGGAGAGGGGGCCCCCCCGGCTGCCCGGGAACCTCGGCTCTTGAGGCCAGGGAGGCTAAGAAGGCTGGAGGAGGGGCCCAGGGGTGGCTGCTGCCGCCGCCGCTCCTCATGGATGGCCCGGGAGCCGTGCAGTCGCCGAGAGGGCCGATACTGCAGCTCCCCCCGGGTTTCCCGCCACTTCTTGAGCTGGGCCGTGTTCTCTCGCTCAATCAGTGCTTCTGTCACCGGGAGGGTGGTCACCTAGACCGAGAAGGAACGGGGAGGGTGAAGGGGAGGGCGGGGACGCGCTGAAGCAGGTGCGGGCGGACTCAGGCCGCGGCCTACCTCATGCACCAGGAAGTCCTCCTGCATGCACTGCGGGGGCAGGTTGCGCAGCTGCTCCATGGTCTCGTACATGCCCTGGCAGGAGCGCAGCTTCTCCACCGAGCCCAGCGTGTGCCGCAGCAGCACCAGGGCCACCCGGAAGATGATCTTGACGCCTGAAGGGCACGGAAAAGGCAGCACGGGAGATCAGGGCTGGGCTCTCAGCCCATCCCATTTAGAAGGGACTCACGCGCCCTATCCCTGTCTTACTGCCATCCTCACGGATGGGGAAACGGAGGCCCCACGGAGGGAAATGAGCTGCCGTGGGTTTCAGGCTCCTGGGAGGGAGAGGAGGCTCCGGAATGATGGCAGAGCCAAGACCAGGCCCCAGTTTCTCCAGCCCCCGGACGGCGGACAGGGAAGCCTAGGCCTCAGACGTACCTTCGGCAGCAGGCCCCTCTCTGGCAGCCACCGTGGAAACCCCAGACCCCGCATGGCCTGAGTGGCTCCAGAAGTACCTTCACAGAAGAACATATCCCAGACGCGCAGCACTGACGCCCAGGGCAGGGTGCGGGCGAAGATGCACATGAACCACTCGGTCATGTAGAGCACGGGGTCAATGCGCTGCCGCCGCAGGTGACGGTGCGCCAGGGGGGAGGCCCGGCGCAGCAGCGCGAAAAAGATTTCTCCGTCCAGCTGAATGGCCTCCTGCAGGCGGGAGAGGCCGTGAGAGGAGGCCTACGGTGCCCCCGTGGGGTAGCACTGTCCCTAGGAGGGGTCCTCACCTCAGTGGGAGAGGCCCAGAGCAGAGGGACAAAAGGGCAGCAGGTGGGGCAGGACAAGGACCTCCCTGCAGCCTTGGGTGCACCCAGCCTTCAGACACTCACCAGCCCTGCGCTGTAGTAACCGGGGAGGTACTTGTCGCAGATCTGCACCAGGCACCAGAAAGCTTGCTGAGGAGGGCAAGAACAAGGGGCAGGGGGACAGGACCTGAGAAACAGGGAGTAGAGTGCTCCCCCATCACCACCGTAGGCCAAGGTCCTCCCAGGCCTCCCCAGCCAGGACCAGGGTATGCTGACCTCAGCAGGCATGTGCATGAGCAGCACGGCGGCCACTGGGGCCTGGGCCTGGCAGTAGCCCTCATCGGGCCGGTAGATCGTGTAGGCCTTCAGGATTCGGTACAGGTCCTGTTGCCTGTGGGTATTGGGAAAGACCATGCGGGCAACCAGCGGAGGTGGGGGCTCTCTGCCCCAAACTAAGCCTGCTCCCCCCAACCAGCCCCATTCCAGACCCCTCCCAGATCCAGTTCCAGATTAACCTCAGAGCTTCCCCACCACACACCTCCACTGGCGTTCCTAGTGCTGCCCATCAAGGTGAAGCCAAAGACTCCGACCATGAGCAAAGCATTCCAGGCTTCAGCCTTCCACCCTTGCCTGCACACCCCACCTGCTCCCTACCCATTCCCCCACACAGGCTGTGCTCTCTCTCCTTCATCTGCCACCATCCCATAGACCTTCAAAGTCACCTTCTTCAGGGAGCTTTCACTGCCCGCAGCATCAGCCCTCCTGTCGCACTGAATGCTTTCAGTACCTCAGAGCAGGGGCTCTCCCAGGGCAGGGCTCCCCTCATCTGCCTCACTGGATTGAATCAGGTCCCCGTCACCATGTCCAGTGGGCCCTGGTTCTTGGAAGCCTCAGTGAAGGCTTGGAAAGCCAGCTGTGCCTCAAACCTTTCTCTTGTCTCTGCATCTAAAAGAATAAAATCTCTGCCCTAGACCTGCTCCTCTTTCTTGAGGGCACCCCATCACCGTGTCTGGGAATCCCATTCAGTCAGCCCCACACTGGAAAAGAGAGCCCTACTTCACTCCCCGTGGCTGAAACCAAATCTTCTCAACACTACCTCTTGATTTTCATTCATATCTGTTCCTTCTCTCTGCCTCCACAGCCATTCCGTAGCTCAGACCTTCATTTCTTACCCAGAAAAAAAGTAAAAATGACCTCCTCTATCCCAAAATTCAGTCATTGAAGTGTGATCTTCATTTGTGCTTTATCTGCATACCTCCCTGCTATTTTTCACTTCATCTTTTTTCTCCACTTTGCAACAGCATCCATGAAATGACAGGTTGGATGCACTAGTTATTTTTTACCTAATACCTATTAAAATAAACATGTAATTCCCACAAGCTCCCATGCTTCATTCACCTACCTACCTGCATGTGTCCCTGCTTCCTCCCCTGTTGCTGTGGGTGAAATGTCTGTGGTCCTGGCCAAACACAGCCTTTCCACTTGGGCACTGCACTCCATCCACTCTTACCTACACGGGCCATCACCCCAGCAAGCCTCCCACCTCTCCTGCATCATCAGTTTTTCTCTCCCTACTAGATCATCCCCATTGGCATACCAACATTTGTTATTTACTCTTGCTTAAAAAAAATGTCTCTTGACCACCACCCCCCTTTCCCCTCCAAACACCATTTCTCTTCTTACCTACTCAGCAAAAACTTCAGGGTACAGACTCACTGTCATCAAGCTCTTTCCTCCCATTCTGCAGTCAGGCTTTAACCGACTGCCCCGTGCAAAACTGCCCTTATCAAGGTCACCACTGACTGCCACTGTGCTGAGTCCCGAGGTCAATCTGCAGACTTGACTTTACTTGACCCATCAGCAGTATTTCATACAGCTGGTCCTGAAACCCCTCTTTAATTTGCTTCCAGAAACCGCACTGCCCTGGTTTTCCTTCTACCTCTCCAGCTTCTGCTTCTAGTCTCCCTTGCTGGTTTGTTCTCATCTTTCCATTCTTGAAATGTTGGAGCAACAGGGCTCAATCTTTGAGCTTCCTTTTGTATCTACACTTGCTGCTTTGATGATCTCATCCAGTCCCATAGGTGAGTCCCGTCTAGAGGCTGACAACTCTCGATCTCCAGCTTACCCTCACTTTAAACTTCTCCCCAAATTCCAGGCTTGCATATAGCGTACATTCAACTTACTTGACATCTCCATCTGGACATCCAGTTAGCATTTCAAACCTCATATTCCAAAACTGAGCTCCTGATGTACCCCTCTAACTTCTTTATCCCCATTTTGCCCATCCACATCAGTATATAACAATTCCATTTTTCTAGTTTCTCAGGCCCAAAACCTTTAGAGTCAGCCTTAATTGTGCTCACTCTCTCTCCCTCTCTCTCACACACTCCACATCTAATCTGTTGGCAGATCCTTTTGGCTCTACCTTCAGAATATACCCAGAACCCAACCACTTCTCCCCATAGTTCCATGGCTACCAATCTGGTCTATCTGTCATGGTCTCTCTCCTGGATTATGGAAATGGTCTCCTAAAGGGTCTCTCTGCTTCTGTCCTTGTCTCCTTATAGTCTATTCTCAGCACAGCAGCCAAGACGATCCTTTCAAAACACAAATCAGATCAGATCACTTGTAAC